TCACTCTAGTTATGCGAAGTTCAAATTGCGTAAGACTTTTGTCCCACTGACCAATCATGCGTTCAACGCACAATCCTCGCCTACAATCCTGTCTTAAGACTCGTTAACACCAATCTCAAGACGTAGTTGGACGGTAGAGCGACGGTCTCGCTTCATGCAGGTCAGCGTTCAATCCCCGACCGTCCAAGTGGTTGGGCACCATTCCTTTCCCCCGTCCCATCCCAAATCCTCATCCTGACCCCTTCCCAGTGCTATATAGTCGTAATGGCTTGACGCTTTCTCCTGATAATCTCTTCCCTTCCCTTCTTACGTTAACACAGCTGGTTGCAGGGGAAATAACACAAGTTCCCGCAGGATTTTCGAAAACACTTGACGACATGAACACAATTAAGAGAATAATGACATAATACATATAAGATGACAGGTGTGATGTGTCTGTCAACAGATGTCACAGATGATGGACGAAACATCACTCAAAGTACCACTCGAATATCGTCTATAGTTAACACTCGACACTCCTACCTGTCCCAGGTGCTGAATGTGACCGAGCAGGAATTCAGTGGGTTAAGTACTCAACTTTATATAGAGTACTTACATTAATGGCCGGCCTTCCAAACTCGTTCATACACGCTCAGCTAATGGCGTGTATGTGGTATGAATGTATGAATGTGGAATAACGTATACGGAGACTTGAGGTACCACGTGTTTGGTAACGTTACACGTGGTCGGTCGGTGGAAAATTTTTGGCGATACGTGGTGGCTAAAACAGCAGAACTGCGACTCGAAATTCACGTTGGTGCGGGCTTCACTACTTTGAAGGCGCGTGATTTACCGCACGGGTTCACGGGAGTTCACAGGTGACAGCTCACGTCATGGGCAGAGTCACGGTCCAATTCCTCTGTCTCACGGATGGAATTCAACTTAACACGATTCAATCTTTTCTGTTATCACTGTGCATAAACTGTACTCGAACTGGGTTATCTTAAATGTTCAGCAACTCTAAGGATCACTCTGATAAATCGTGATGAAAAATCTTCCCTCAGTCTGTTGCATCTGGTTACCTTATCGCGATTTATCCCTATCTTCGCCAGTTCACTACGATTGTCTAAATAGCACCGCGGGATTCCTGGCCGCTTCGTAGATTATTTTAATAACTGAGAAAATCCGAAGAAGCAGTGATAAGGATTCGAACCTAAGCACTTGCCGGGAATGTGTCTGGGAACAGCCATCGCACAGGTTCGAATCCTTATAACGGCTCCTTCGGGCTTCCTATCGATGAATCACGTTAGTGTGATATCTCTCTGTGTATTTTAATAACTATTAGAGTTAGACGTTGCCATGGACTTAGACGGTGTTAGTAAAACTATTTACAGGCGATGAGTCACAATAACGTGGCTGAAGTATGTTGACCAGACCACACACTAGAAGTTGAAGGGACGACGACGTTTCGGTCCACAATCGACTTGAGAATGGTCCAGGACTGACCGAAACTTCGTCGTCCCTTCAACTTCTAGTGTGTGGTCTGGTCAATCAATAAAACTATTTAATTGTCCTGATTGTTCCACGCAACACGTCTTATAGTTACGATCAATCAGGCCTAAACTACCACCCACGTACCCCGGTACTTTGTGGCCACCAATCAGGAAACTGTTTAACAGCGTGGATATATTGTAGCCGGTCGGCCGAGCGGACAGCACGCGGGACTTGTGATCCTGTGGTCCTGGGTTCGATCCCAGGCGCCGGCGAGAAACAATGGGCAGAGTTTCTTTCACCCTATGCCCCTGTTACCTAGCAGTAAAATAGTTACCTGGGTGTTAGACAGCTGTCACGGGCTGCTTCCTGGGGGTGGAGGCCTGGTCGAGGACCGGGCCGCGGGGTCACTAAAGCCCCGAAATCATCTCAAGATAACCTCAAGAAGATAGCCTCACAATCGACTTGAAAATGGTCCAGGACGGACCGAAACGTCGTCGTCCCTTCACTTTCTAGTGTGTGGTCTGGTCAACCTATTTCAGCCAGGTTATTGTGACTCATCGTCTGCAAATTGTAGCCTTAGATTGTTTCTTAAGAGATAACGTGACGTGCTGAGACCACAGACACATCATAGCCACGTCATCATCACTATCATCGCTAGTTGCATCAGCTACGAATTACCTGCCCTGAGATAATCCCTTTGGATCACCTGGGGGTAATAAACTGACCTGAGGAAATCCCTTTAGATCGTCTGGCATTATCCCACACTCAACAGGCAGCTTGAACGAGCGAGATGAAACGTTTGTCTGCGCCTGTAAGTGTTAAAGCAGCCAATCTCCTTGATGAAACAACCTATACTGTACCTTGCAGTGTCATCATACTGCTCGAGCCAACAGCTTTCACTGCATGTTAAATATGTTAGGTGTGTCTACAGGTTTACAAAAGGTAGACAATGAACACAACCTGTGCACAATGGGTTGATTCCATGACTCCCATTGCAGCATGCAACACCCCATACAATAGTGCATCGGTGGCAAGCTTGAGAGAATCTCAAATACCACCTGTGAAAGTTGCATTGAAAAAACGATTGAAGCGAAGGCCAAAGTGTTATTTCTTATAGTTCTCGTTTCTTTCACCAAACGTTTTGTTACAAAACGTTTCTTTAGAGTAGCAGTTTCTATTTCCTGGCGATACTGAAAAAAACACATATCTTTGGTTGCCCCCATGGCATTTATTGCAATAAAAGCCAACATTCATCGCTAATCAAATTCTGCATTTACGAAGCGGTCTCACGACCACCTTTTCCGATCTCACGCCTCCCAGAGACTAATATCGTCTCTTTGAACCACTCGGTCATAAAGCTGGGGGATATTTAGACGTGAATCACCAGCTTGGACGATCAGAGTGACTAAACAAGCCATTGATGACTTTGTCCTCACAAGGTGTCTTAGATATTCGTTTCCCAATGAATGAAATCTTTCTAAAGACCACGAGACAATTTCGACACGCAAAAAGATTCGTGTAAGTTTATTTTCTATAGATAAAGATATATACCAACAATTTAGTTTTCGTCTTAATGAACTCTTGAGAGTTATTAAAAGCAGTTCAGAAACTTGCTGACCGACCAGTATCCTATATTCCTCAGTATATTGTCTTGGACAAAAGGAAGCATTAGTATACACGCACTGCGAAGCGAAGTATATCTCTGTGTATTATATATCCCTTTGGTATAGCCATAATTGTTTATCCCTATTAAAAAAGTTAAAATAAATGGGACGAAATGACTTTCTTCGCCAGGAAGAAACCAATTATAGATACACCTTTGCGGAATAAAAAAAAAAGGTTAATTCCATTTAAACCTATATATTTTGTCTCAAAAAATCACCTCTTATCCCAATTTATATTTCAGTTCCCTATTACGCGACTCGGCCCCAATTAAACTGGATTTAGTTGGACAATAACTAATGAGGGATTAGTTCAAAATATTTTATTTTCCAAAAGTTTGATGTTGAGTTGATGGGAGGTTTATTTTGACTACGGTGATGCAGGGGTGGAGGTGGTGGTTGCAGGGGTGGAGGTAGTGGTTGCAGGGGGTGGAGGTGATGGTTGCAGGGGTGGAGGTAGTGGTTGCAGGGGTGGAGGTAGAGGTTGCAGGGGTGGAGGTAGTGGTTGCAGGGGTGGAAGTAGTGGTTGCAGGGGTGGAGGTGGTGGTTGCAGGGGTGGAAGTAGTGGTTGCAGGGGTGGAGGTGGTGGTTGCAGGGGTGGAAGTAGTGGTTGCAGGGGTGGAGGTGGTGGTTGCAGGGGTGGAAGTAATGGTTGCAGGGGTGGAGGTGGTGGTTGCAGGGGTGGAAGTAGTGGTTGCAGGGGCGGAGGTAGTGGTTGCAGGAGTAGAGGTGGTGGTTGTAGGGGTAGAGGTAGTGGTTGTAGGGGTGGAGGTGGTGGTTGCAGGGGTGGAGGTGGTGGTTGCAGGGGTGGAGGTGGTGGTTGCAGGGGTGGAAGTAGTGGTTGCAGGGGTGGAGGTGGTGGTTGCAGGGGTGGAGGTAGTGGTTGCAGGGGTGGAGGTGGTGGTTGCAGGGGTGGAGGTGGTGGTTGCAGGGGTGGAGGTGGTGGTTGCAGGGGTGGAGGTGGTGGTTGCAGGGGGTGGAGGTAGTGGTTGCAGGGGTGGTGGTGGTGGTTGCAGGGGGTGGAGGTAGTGGTTGCAGGGGGTGGAGATAGTGGTTGCAGGGGGTGGAGATAGTGGTTGCAGGGGGTGGAGATAGTGGTTGCAGGGGGTGGAGATAGTGGTTGCAGGGGGTGGAGATAGTGGTTGCAGGGAGTGGAGATAGTGGTTGCAGGGGGTGGAGATAGTGGTTGCAGGGGGTGGAGATAGTGGTTGCAGGGGGTGGAGATAGTGGTTGCAGGGGGTGGAGATAGTGGTTGCAGGGGGTGGAGATAGTGGTTGCAGGGGGTGGAGATAGTGGTTGCAGGGGGTGGAGATAGTGGTTGCAGGGGGTGGAGATAGTGGTTGCAGGGGGTGGAGATAGTGGTTGCAGGGGGTGGAGATAGTGGTTGCAGGGGGTGGAGATAGTGGTTGCAGGGGGTGGAAATAGTGGTTGCAGGGGGTGGAGATAGTGGTTGCAGGGGGTGGAGATAGTGGTTGCAGGGGGTGGAGATAGTGGTTGCAAGAGTGAAACTAGTTACCACAACTCTTCTCGCTAACACTTACCGGCATCTTACCAATCCCCCAATCACCTATACACTAATTACCCACCTGACGTCCCGGCCTCACATATCAACACCTGGCCATTAACTACCCCTAAACAATTCCCACCTCTCCCCCCCCCCCCCGGACACTTCTACACACCACTACAACCGTCACGCCACTTCTCTGTCCGTCACTCTTCCTCGTTACATCCCTGTCACCAACCCTCAAACTACTCCCTCTCTGTTAATCATCTCTACCCTCTTCGCCAGAATTCCAATGCTAATTCGTCATAGTACTTCCCCTCTCTACTTTCCCCGCCTCAACTGTTAATCACTTCCTTTCGCAGGACGCCGCAAGGACTGGAGGATGTGAGTAAGTACCCGTGGCTGCTGGCGGAGCTCCTGAGGGATTCGAACTGGACCGTGTCTGACATCAGGAAGCTCATAGGAGAGAATATCATCAGAGTCTTCTCAGAGGTGGAGAGGGTGAGTGTTTCCCTGTGAGAGAGAGAGAGAGAGAGAGAGAGAGAGAGAGAGAGAGAGAGAGAGAGAGAGAGAGAGAGAGAGAGAGAGAGAGAGAGAGAGAGAGAGAGAGAGAGAGAGAAAGTTGAACTCGAGTAGTTGTACTTGATGCTGCAGTAATACGGTTTCTCTGACCTTACTCGTAAGATCCTTATATGCTTTGGAAAAGTAGTTATTTTATTATCATTTTTCTTCTTATTTCCTCCTTTATTTAAATTTTTTTACGATCATTTTCTGTTGTTAGTCTTGCTTCCCCCTTATTCTCTTTCCTTGTTTGCCCTGTTTATCCATCTTTTTTTTATGTTTACCCGTTTCTTATAGTCTCCAATTGTTTGTTTAATCCTTGTCTGTCTAATTTATTGTTGAATGTCACTCCCACTGCTGCATTATTCCACATTTGGTCTGATAAAAGGTCACGATATGTTTTAGATATTTAGCTACGATTGCCTATCTGTTTCTACCTGACACCTGATATCTTTTCACTGTTGGTGGTAATTCAAAAATCAATTCTCCAAAATTCATTTTTATTTCTAGTCTGACCAAATCTGTTTCGTATCTCCTGCAGGTGCGGGATGACCTGCTGGCCAAGGGAGTGGAGCCACAGGAGGAGGAGATCCACCCGGAGTACTTGAAAGGGAAGACTAACTGTACCTACATCTTCGACTGATTCGAAGATCAACTGAGATCTCACAACATCCCTGGTGACTTCCGCATCCTCCAATGTTGTTATTAGCCGGCATTAAGTGACATCCACGTCATTAGATACGTCTGACGGCAGGCGGCATCTCTCATACCAGCATCCAAACGGCATTCATCTCTGTCGCCAGCATCCGGCGACATCTAGAAATAAAGCCTCACTTCATCATCCCAGCAACTTGCCACAGAATGACACTCTTGTTGACGAGTTAATTCAGGGGAAATCATCGTGATTTATCGCTGGAAACTGCGCATCAATTTTCGACGAATGGAAAGTTGAATCCGATTTATGACAGGAATCCGTTTTATTCTCATGAATAGCAGATGATTGGACTTGTGTGATCTTGATTGACAAATGATTGTGATCTAGTAGCGAAAAATAACTGGTCTCTTAATGCTAAAAAAAAATATATATGCTGTAAAGTAAATGTAAGTGATCTTGAAGGACAACAAATATTTAAGTGGTATATTTGACATTCGGAAAATACGAGAGACCAGTGATCGTTTCTTTTGATTTAAATTTATATTTTTTATTTAACTCAGAGCAAAGTACTGTCAAAAAAAAAAAAAATTTTGGTTTCCATAAAAGAGTGCTGTACATTCCTCTTTGAGAAGAATGTTATGAGAATATCGATAACATTGCAAAAAAAACACCTAAAAACCAATTTGAAAGCATTTGTGCCAAATACCTATAACCACTACCATTCCAACCTTGAAAAACAATCACACGTGTTTTTTTCCCCGGTGAGTTTAATGACCTTCGAGATGATCACAATCGCTCTTTGACCTTTCTCCAACGTAACAGCACAACGACCTTTGTTAACTAACATACGAGGTGATTTCCGGAAGCGAAAATGTTTTCAAAAGCGTTTTCCAATGAGTTAAATGATCACTAGGGGGGGGGGGGTTGACCACTAGCGATCTCTGACCTTTGGCAACGTAGTAGCGTTGACCTTCGTTGATTGAATGAGACACCAGAGTAACGGGTGGTGTTTGGACGCGAAAATATTTCGACAATGTGCTAGAGTCTTCCGTTACCAATTTTGCTTCCATTGCTCATATGGATTAGACAACCCAAACGAGCCAAGGAGACCAGACACAAAGTGGGTGAAGGGGTGATTGGCTAAAATCGATTTTCAACTAATTTTATTATCCCCCTCCCCCTAAAAAAAATTGGGATACATTTATGAAAAGAAATGTGCCATTGGAAAATTCTGTTGTCCCATCGTAGAAAAAGCTGACAATATGCACACTACTGCCCATTCATGTTGTCTCCAATGTTATATGTGAACAAAACAATTGTGGATAATTGTTGTTATATATCGACTTTGTGGTTTTAAGCGAACACTGATCGCTGAGACCGTCGTTTGATGGTTTCCGTAGAAAGAAACCGTAGAAAGTGAGCAAAATCTAAATATTGTAGGGGTATTATGTATGCTTAAGGTGGACGGGGTGTAGGAGAAGAGGTGCTCAGTGTATAGTGCTCAAGAGGAAGTTGAAAGGAAACAGATTAGGTGCGGGTGAGGAGAAGGTGAAAGGGGTGAGAGTATAGATAAAACCCTAGAATGGACTACAGGTAGAGGACAGAAGAGGGTCATTGAAAGCGTAGATAGAGGAAAAACCCGTTGGCTGACGTTAATCTTAAGTTAAGCCTGACCTTGGGCCAGGCTTTGGAACTGGAAGAACTCTCAAAACCCCAGCCAGGTACAATCCAGGAAAATCATTACATGCTGGTTAGCATTGTAAATGTGTGGCCACGTCTGTGGTATAAAATAATAATGCCCCCAAAAATATATGAGAAACATCATATTAGACGTAAAAATCATTAAAATGCGAACAAAAACGTACCGGAACAGAAAAATAGCTTTATCATTATACCCGAGAATTGCATAATTTAATTACATATATTTTATAGTAAAAAAAGGGCTTTACCGCAGTGAGAAGCAAAGGTCGCTTTACCCATCGTCTGTGTCGCAAACGTGACCGTAGCGCAGAAGGCATAGTGCCCTTCAGTACACAATGACAAAGATCCACACACGTAGAGAATTATATAGGCCACAGTTCCCGACAAGAGAGAGAGATACCATATGGGAAACATGCCGTAATATACCTGGAGAATGTTTGGAGATTTGCGGTTTTAGAACGATGGTAAATAGTAGCAGTAATTAGTGTGACGAGAGGAGGAAGGTGGTGACATTTGAGGCGTTCCTTGCTGGTCGAGGTGCGTCCGGAAGAGCAATATAGGCAAGAAAGTTAAGGAAAAGTATCAGAAAGTGGTGAAAAAGTAAGGGCACATAGCCCTTATGAGTGATATAAGGCGAGGACATATAGCAGGGATACGTGGACAAGGGACTTAATTATGAAGACGTACTCAATTAACTTGGCACAATCACGTTGACTATCGGGGATCGAACGCTGATCCAACAAGAAGCAAGGCCGTTCAGTAACATAAGGGAAACCTAAAGTTAAATATTTCATACAAGGTCTTTGATGCTCCATTTAACACCTGGCTGTTCCATTCACTATATCTGTTTTTCTATCCACTTCCCACTATCGTTATGCCTCTTCACGCGTCTCCTATGTCCTGTTTATCACTTACCCTAGTTCCATACATCTTGTTAACGACCCAAATGTTCCATTATGGCGTTCGGTTTTTTTGGATGTTCCCAGTCCACTACGGGCTCACCATAGACCGTGCTACTTGGAACTTTTGTTCCGAGTAGCTGAATCTAAAACAATAACAACATTGGGCGTTCCTTCACCGATCATACCTGTACCACCCTGACTGTGTCTAGCGAATCCTACTAAAACTGTGGACGATTGCAGCTGCGCTCAGCAGTGGTACACAAGTCGATACATTCCGTGCTGGAACAGCAGACAATCTGGTTGTTATTGTAAATAAGTTGGGTGCGTCCACTCACACTCCTCCTAGTGTGGGTGCGTCCACCCACACTCCTCCTAGTGTGGGTGCGTCCACTCACACTCCTAGTGTGGGTGCGTCCACTCACTCCTCCTAGTGTCACCCTCCGAGTTATTGACAGGGGCCGAACGTGCTGTTTCCGGTAACCAATTCGTTATTTCCATCACAGAGCAAGTCTCTACCATCAAAGTACCAGCCTTTTGAGTATGGTCCCGAAAGTACTCAAAAGTACCAATGTGTATTCGTGAGATCAATGGTCTTATTGACCACCTGACAGACGGCCTGACTTCGCCACCAGTGTCATGCCCACTTCAGACCTCGTAGAAAGCTTTGACATATAACATCAAATTAAGGGTTATATCTCGGAGCGTTAGTGTAGCAGAAGAGCTGTTAACAGTGGACGGGTAAAAGGCCACCTGGCCAATCAGACCTCCTCGCCCCGCTTCCTCGTTTGCGTTGCTTCCCACCCGGTTGTTACGTTCTAGTTAGGCTGTAAGTTACGTCTGGCGCCTATAAACCTCAGGTAGCTACTGTGGGTCTCACAGGGGGAAGAGGCCCATTGCAGCTCCACGCCTTTATGCTACCTAAAGTTAGCGTTCATTATTCCTTGCGCTTGCGGCGTTTTTCTTGTTAAGACAACGGTAGGACAAATTAGCCTCCTGTTGACTGGTTTGTCCTACCAACACGTCGGTCAAGTTTGATACTGTTGCCTGATGTTGCTGTGGCTTGTGTGAGGAGGTCTTAAGGAACCACCGACACCCGGAGCGTGTTCCATGGTGGGAGGAAGTTGCGTGTCTCAGTGTAAACAACTTGAGACGCGTGGGGCAATGTAAACAATGACACATGTACGGACGTTTGTTTGTAAACAATGACACGTGTAAGGACGTTTGTTTGTAAACAACACCACGTGGAGATTTCTGAATGGGGGAGAACGAGCATTAGAGTTACAAGAGTGACTCCACAACCATACTCCGTGTACAGTGTACAGAATCACCGTCTCTAGAGAGAACTTAATGTTAATTTGTGGTACAGAACGAAAAAGTTTTACTTTTGCTACAAAGATCGGGAACAAATAATAATAATAAAAAAAAAATACTCGAACTCTATAAGTGATTACTAACTTTTGAGACCTCTTGAAATAAATGAATGATTTTTTAATTATTTATATCAGTGAATGGCGCGGATAGCGAAACTTTGCGACAATCAGAGGAGTAAATTAGGAGTGTTGGGGGCATGCTTGGCCAAGTTCGAGACTGCAGCGCCCAATGCCAGACTGCATAGTAGACATTCCTCCTAGTTTCTTTTTAAGTTTAATTGCTGCCTTAACATTAGAATATAGGTGTGTGTGTGTGTGTGTATGTGTGTGTATACTGGGTGGATACCTGGGGGATACTTGTCGTGTACTACACCACTACCACCACCACTACCACCACTACCAAAGCTTTATTCTCTGTTTAATCGCTGCAGTCTCGTTCTAGCTGACCTAAAAATATGACTCCAAATTATTTATTTTTTTCCATGTGTAGATAAGGCCTAGCCTGCATATCGTAAAGCCTGTAACATACATAGTTTAGTGTTTCATAGCGCTACAGTATAACAGATGAATACACAAATTATACAGAAACTGTTGCATATACTATGTATAGAGTATATTTATCCGTGCTGCTCACACGAAAGAACTGGATTTTTTAGACTGTGATTAAGGAGGCGAGGACAGACAAAAAGTACCCATTGTTAGGCTTGTAGATTCACACGTGTATTATGTGTAGCCTATGTATATTTTGACAAGACTTTCATGTGCAGAAATGTCATATATATATATATATATATATATATATATATATATATATATATATATATATATATATATATATATATATATATAACAAGGTGATCATTTGATGTACATTTTTTTCCCTTGTAAAACTCATCCAGCATTAGTGTGAATGTTTGGGGGTTTGTGTGATGTGTAAGCCGTGCTCTGCCCCGAGGCTTCCACGAGGCTACCGTGAGGCTTCTACGCAACACACACGGAAGCCCCTGAGAGCCTGGTGGAAGCCTCCATTGTCCTGTAAGGTGGCGAACGGCTCAAAGTCCCACAACTGGTCACACCCGCTGTATTCGGACTGCTGTGTAGCGTTACCATTATACAATGCAAAGTGCCTTAGCACACAGTTCTGTTGTACAGAGGGTGAGACTTTTCTCGTGTTACTGTTTCTAATAGTACTGCTGTTGCTGCTGCTGCTACTGCTGCTGCTGCTGCTTCTTCCGCTGTTGCGTGAGCGTGTCTGTTTTTTTTTTTTTTTGAGTGTTCAGGTACGTTTGTGTGTGTGTGTGTGTGTGTGCGTGTGTGTGTCTTCAAGTACACGGGGGAACATGTACTGAATCATCGGCATAAACATTATAATATTGTTGCTGGTTCTCTTGTATCATTTCATGCACCATCTTTATTGTCGACTATTTTATTTTGTGTCTATGCTTCTCTCTGCCATAAGCTTACGGCTAAGTCTCGTCCGTAGTTGAAAGTATATCTTATGTTCCGTAGTCCAAATAGTCATATATATATTTCCCTACTGGCTCTGGCTGATAGCCAAAAAAAATCACCATGAATTGTTTCGATTGCATATATCAAAGTTTGAGAAGCATTGTGCTTCAGAGCATTATATTGACTGCTGCAAACGCTGCTCTTTCTCTCTATCTCTCGCCGCGTACCAGGCGAACGATTTCGTACCTTTCGTGCAGTAAAAGGCGTACTACCATGAAGTTCGGAACGGTACGATTCTTAAAAATGAAACAAATAAAGGAAATCCTATTCATTATTCATAGTTGGGAGGAATAACTCCATTTAATTACTTTAGATTCTTGGCAAGAATATGTCTATACCATCTAGTGCCAGCATTGACCCACGATTAAGTGCTAGCATCAATCTACGATCAAACTCCATTCTAGATGTGAATAGTGCCTGGCCCCCTCAAGCAATGTCGGGCTATCAGGCTGGATTAAAATAGTCCACAGCGCTATACGGAGTGCAACTTTCACTCTTCAGAGTTGCCAAGAGTTATGTTACTCTCAGTTATCACTGGCAGCAGTAAGGGAGGCTGGCTAGTGTGTGAGGGGTGAGGGAATCTCTATACAACTGAACAGGTAATATCCCAAACGCAGTAGAAAAGCTCCTTGGGCTTCGCGCGACTCTGATAGACTATAAGTGACTAGATGCCTTCAAGTCATCGTTCAGTCTACTAGTGACTAGTTGGCTTGTGGCCGTCGCTCTGACTGACTCACTAATGGTCTGAGCTATAAATGCCACAGTGACCCGATAGATATAACATGAAACTCATACTGCGGCACTTAAATATTAGCACTGCAAGCTGTCACTCAAAGACTGGCCCTCAACCATCAGACTGTCACTCAAAGACTGGCCCTCAACCATCAGACTGTCACTCAAAGACTGGCCCTCAACCATCAGACTGTCACTCAAAGACTGGCCCTCAACCATCAGACTGTCACTCAAAGACTGGCCCTCAACCATCAAACTGTCACTCAAAGACTGGCCCTCAACCATCAGACTGTCACTCAAAGACTGGCCCTCAACCATCAGACTGTCACTCAAAGACTGGCCCTCAACCATCAGACTGTCACTCAAAGACTGGCCCTCAACCATCAGACTGTCACTCAAAGACTGGCCCTCAACCATCAGACTGTCACTCAAAGACTGGCCCTCAACCATCAGACTGTCACTCAAAGACTGGCCCTCAACCATCAGACTGTCACTCAAAGACTGGCCCTCAACCATCAGACTGTTACTCAAAGACTGGCCCTCAACCATCAGACTGTCACTCAAAGACTGGCCCTCAACCATCAGACTGTCACTCAAAGACTGGCCCTCAACCATCAGACTGTCACTCAAAGACTGGCCCTCAACCATCAGACTGTCACTCAAAGACTGGCCCTCAACCATCAGACTGTCACTCAAAGACTGGCCCTCAACCATCAGACTGTCACTCAAAGACTGGCCCTCAACCATCAGACTGTCACTCCACGCCTGCTCTATCACACCACCAACAGCTGCTGCTGCACTGACAGTCACTACGTCCTAATAGACTGTTTTAGACTGTCATAAACTCAAGCCATGTATCCAAGACCGTTGCTCCCCTGTTTCCTATCAACAGGACTGAGTAAACGGGAAGATAAATAGCATTTGCCAAACGAACATAAAGCTGCTTAGCCAATCAGGCCAACCCCTTAACAGATAAGCTAGCCAACGCCATTATATATACACCCAAGAAAACAATTATATAATTCCTCAGATAATTAGAAATGTAAAGCAATTGGGTGACGATCACGTTTATAGTAACGGGGGTATTAGATAACGTCAGACGAGAGGAAGTGATGGTAGATAACGAATGTAAAATAATGCAAAGTGATAACAGGTAATGGGAGGCAATGGTAGATCCTGGGAGGAAACTATAGACGATAACCAGTGATGGTTAATGGTCTCATGGTTACCTCTGCCTATTACTCCTCAATTGGTCTCCTGTTTTGAGACACTCAGCAGCCAAGTATACTATTTTCCGCGACTTTATTCAACGCTATCTTTCTGTCAATACTGTCAACACTGTCAAAAAATACCTAGTTTCAGTATTTCATGCATTTTATGCAAGTATACAAACACTCTCAGCAATTCATCACACGTATCTACGCTATACAACATATATATATATATATGTATCCACGTGACGCAGCATATGTATCTACGTGATAGAACATATGTATCCACGTGATGCAATAGTGATAGCAACTAAATCTTTAACATAACCCTGTAATTTAGATCAAGCAACCTGTTAGTTTAGCATAAGCATATGCCTTCAGAGGATCATCATACTGTGGTAGTTTACAAGGAGTTTAATAATAGATTTTGTTGATCGTCTTTGCCGACTCAAAAATGCTGAAAAAAAAGATTATGTATAGTGACCAAGGGAACAGAGGAATGAATTATAGAAGCATAGAAAACGAGTAATAAACCTATGTGCATAGCAATATCGGTAGGCAATCTCCCACTTTATTTTTTATAGGCATACCTGATGGAGAGAGGAGGAATATAGGCCTACAGTGTACAGGTAATTTTAGTGCTTAGTGAAATGCATATTTTATCGAAGCTGTAATGCCATTACTAATTACATAGTTAAGGATGGGGTAGTTGAGATTGCGTGGAAACCATGGCATACCATGGCCCTGAATATAACGATATGTATGTTATAAGGTTAGGTAATCATTTAGATTCCATGGTACCATGCATGCCCAAACTATTGGGCTTAAGAGAAACAATACCAGTCAAATTACCAAAGCATGGCACCAAGAAACACATACATTCATACAGCTGCGAAAGACCATACAGTCTGATGATGCTTAGCGGGCATGATAGCGGACAGCCACCATAGGTACCATGATAACATAACTGAGAAGGGTAGTAGACAAGTGTAATATATACCCAACATAGTGGCCATATTACTCTTCAGCCTCCAGGTGCGTGCCTGGTAGCTAAGACCAGCTTCCAGGTGCGTGCCTGGTAGCTAAGACCAGCCTCCAGGTGCGTGCCTGGTAGCTAAGACCAGCCTCCAGGTGCGTGGCTGGTAGCTAAGACCAGCCTCCAGGTGCGTGGCTGGTAGCTAAGACCAGCCTCCAGGTGCGTGGCTGGTAGCTAAGACCAGCTTCCAGGTGCGTGGCTGGTAGCTAAGACCAGCTTCCAGGAGCGTGCCTGGTAGCTAAGACCAGCCTCCAGGTGCGTGCCTGGTAGCTACCCACACTATGTGTTCTTGTGAACGAGACCTTCCTGACCTCTAGTTGAGAATTCTCTTAACTGGTCTGTTTAACTAGCTTGTCCTCGTTAAGACGCGAGGCTAGCGAGAACGAGTGAAATAGAGGGGCTCCTGGGGGTGTCTATCTCAAGTGATTCTACTTAGGAAGCCTCCTTCAGGCAGTGTATGATAGATTACCTTCGTCTGGCTATTCATATCTCATCCAGTGGTTCGGCTTGGAATGCCTTATTCATGGGATTCGTGGAGGATTGCCTTCGCTAGGACGGTTCACGAATGTGATCCACCTACACGATGCTAAGAGAGTCCCAGTAACGGGATATAAACGCACAAACCTTACTTCCTATTTTTGCACACCTTTTTGATCTACGTTGATAGATAATGAGCGCTGGTTGTGCTGTTAGTAGTAATTTCTATATCTGTTTTGCAACTAGTTCCTTTGTTTGTAAAAAAAAAAATAAGAGAGTATTCTTTAAATTTGTAAATATTTATACCCAGAATAAATGTATATTGTTGCTGTTACACAGACGTTTGTATCTATGCCTCTATGAATATAGGCCGAAGGTCTGGGGGGTTAAGAACACGTTTTTGTCATGTTTTTTTTCAGAAACAGAAACGTTGCATGGAGGTCATTGGGCAGGAGCGTGTGCTTGGGTCATCATGGATGGATTATATGTGTGTCTGTAGGGAATTGTTTTTTTTTAAGTTTAAAGAGATAATGGATAAACAATTAAAGAATATAGTAAAGGAGATGTGAAAATAATGTATATATAGTGGACGGGCACATGGGTAAATATGACCACTTCCATCACCCACACACACACTCGTACTAACACACACACACACACACACACACACACACACACACACACACACACACACACACACACACACACACACACACACACACACACACACACACACACACAGTATAAATCACACAGAATCTCACATATACACACTGCACACATATGCAAAGACACTCATACACAATCACACACACATGTAAAACACCCATACTGCAATAACATAAATGAAACATCTGCACTTCATACCACACTACAAATCTGTCACCAGAACCTGTAACAAAAGACGGGCGAAGTAATTACAAACATCAATGTTATTTAAGGATATATATGTAACCAAGACAATGAACGCTAAAGACGAGAAACAAGACAATTTACCATAAATTACAGCACAGGTAAAGACCAATATATCAGACACAATAAAAACAAATATAATGCATAATATTAATACTCAATAAGTAGACGTAATTTATGAGAAAATAGTATGCCAAGAGGTTGGACTGAATTGGCGTGTTTCTGAGTGCGAAGTCGCGATATTAATCCCACTCACTGATCTAATATTTTCCTAAGAAATCAAATCTTTCCTGGAAACTACCAGGTTGTGAAGGTACACAGAGTAAGGTGCCCCTTGGAGCGCGTCTCTTCACAATACATCAAAGTTAAAAAAAGGAATATTGAAAGTAACAAAGAGGTTATGAAAGCGAAATATAACACGTCCCATACATCACAGAAGGAAATCTAATGATACTTAGATATTTTATGTGCTGTGAGATCAAAAATATAACACAGGTTACACATGCAGCGCAGACATGCAGAGAGACACATATGCTCAGCAGACAACACTTTTCTATAATACAGCACATGAAAGAGCCAGGAAGTGAGAGAGAGGCAGCAACATGCAAGCAGGATCTAGAATTAAACAAATGCAACCAAAAAATGAAGCCATAACTTGGCTGGAAAGTGAGGCTCCACTCAGAGCTGTCATAGACCTGCATCAACTCGTCACACAACATAATATAACTGACGGCTCAGAGTATAAAAAATTGAAAAAATACCAACTGGAATTATACAAGATTACCTCCAAACGAAATAACTCTAGAGCAAGATGCAGACGATGAGTCACAATAACGTGGCTGATGTTGACCAGACCACACACACTAGAAGGTGAAGGGACGACGACGTTTCGGTCCGTCCTGGACCATTCTCAAGTCGAAACGTCGTCGTTCTTTCACCTTCTAGTGTGTGGTCTGGTCAATCTAGAGCAAGATGATGCACTGCACCTGGAGACGACAAGGCAGACGACACACGTACATATCAAATAAAAAGAAAACACTTGAGAATATCCCACGTATACTGACTTGAGAATGGTCCAGGACGGAGCGAAACGTGGTCGTCCCTTCACCTTCTAGTGTGTGGTCTGGTCAACATACTTCAGCCACGTTATTGTGACTCATCGCCTGCACATCCCACGTATAGCTTAACTAGAGGTGCAAAAAAGGCAATAACAGATATAGGAAGGACTGCAGAAGAATTTTTAAGATAATATAATACAAACAGAATAGCAAAACAAGAGAGCTAAAAATTTACGTAAAAAAAAAATAGCGTGAAGCACAGAAGCGGTTATATAGATTTATGATATCAAGATTGATGCACAAGCAACTTAATTTTGTTCCATAGTCAAAAACTAAATTGTAACAATGAATAAATAATATAACCAGATAACACAAAACGAAAATTCTCGAGGAGTCGAGTCAAATATTTCAACCAGGAAGAAGCTAGAAAACATGACAGATATGAAAGATTTTTTTAGTAATGAGAGGTATTTGTTACCACAGATAACAGAAAAAAGGAAAGAAAAGGAAAGGACATATCAGCGCCAAGCCATTTCGACTATTACAGCACTTGGAAGGGGTCAGGATAAGGATTTGGGATGGGACGGCGGAAAGGAATGGTACCCAACGACTTGGACGATCGGAGAATTGAACGCAGACCTGCACGAAGCGAGATCATCTGCCTTATCCCTGCCTTATCCTCGTCATCCCTCACCAATGCTATATAGTCATACTAACGGCCCTTTGTCTTTATAATTATCTTAACATCTCTCTCTTTCCCCAGCGACAGGGACCAAGCTTTCCTCAACGCCTCACCTGGTTAAGTCCCCTATTATAAGTTGATCGGCCCTCAGAAACTGACCCCTAAGTTGTGTCCAAGTCCTCCGCGAGCCTCCAAGGTCCCTCAGGCTTTACTTAAGCTTCATTTCACGCCCTAGCAACTTAACGGAAAACCGAGAAGGAAAGAGAAATGGAGAGCAGGAAAGTGTGTCAAAAAATACTAAAGAGTGGAAGACATTGAAGAGAGAGAGAGAGAGAGAGAGAGAGAGAGAGAGAGAGAGAGAGAGAGAGAGAGAGAGAGAGAGAGAGAGAGAGAGAGAGAGAGAGAGAGAGAGAGAGAGAGAGACTCATTAAATTAAAACTATAAAAACTTACAATACAGAAACAGACAGAATGGGAATCAAAATACAAGACCGAACCCCATCAAAAAGATGCAGCCGGACCATAAATTATTCATCCAGCGAACACCATCCATACACTGAACAACCGAAAGATGACAGGTGAGAAGCCCGAACGAGAAAAAACAATGCAAGAACTAGATGAAAGATATGAAGAAAGATTTTACTTGTCTCTTAAACCCTTCCTACCACACGACATAATAATGGTCCAAAACGGACCGAAACGTCGTCGTTTCTTCATTTTCTGACGTGTGGTTCTAACACCCGACAGAGCCCAAACGTGCCTCCCGGAACCTAAACCCAGTACTATGAATAATTGTAATCATCATAAATGCCATAACAAAAAAAAAAACACAAAATATGACCAACAGTTCTTTACCATTTTGCTCACTCGACAACGAAATAGTCGGAATTCAGGAAGGCAAAAGTGGTGTTCATTTCCTGTGTGTAAACCTTCTCCTTTTTATAAACAATTTTGCACCAGAAACACTGTAACATTATATAACATATATGACATAAGAAAAGGCAAAGAAAAAGCAGTTTCTTTAATGAAAGGAAACACAAGGAGACTGTGTTTATGTCGGCCAGTGTTAGTAGGACGCTGGCATGTTAGTGGTTACAAGAATATGATTCAAGAATAATATTAACCCCTTGACACTAACGATATCAGAAACACCTTAACTCTAACGATAACATGAACACCCTGGCACTAACGATAACAGGAATACCTTGACTCTAACAATTAAAATAATCCCAATTGACAATGCTTTCTCTTATCAGTTTCGGCAGATATTCCAGAAATATTTCCCAAGAAAAAGTAGCGAAACTCTTAATTGGAAACGCTTGTTAGTAAGGCTGTAGTAGGGCCAATTATACAAGGTACCTAAACCCTTATAAAAGATGTGCACTATCCCCTACACCTCCTACTTACAGCTCTCTTCAATGAATGTCCTAATACATCCTTAAAAGATGTGTACTTTCACTTGAAACTCTTAAGTTTCAAGTGAAAGTCACAACTTGAGAATGGTCCAGGACGGACCGAAACGTCATCGTCCCTTCACCTTCTAGTGTGTGGTCTGGTCAACATACTTCAGCCACGTTATTGTGACTCATCGCCTGCATAACACAAGCATGTTGTAAACAAAAAATAACACAACGATTGTTTTTGCACGTTCAAAAACACTTACAAAAAATAGCGTGCATAACACGCATAAATAACACAATGCTGCCTTGTAAAAAAGGCCCTATTTTACGTTTAAAGCCAAAACTATACAATATACAATATTATCTCCAACTAATATTTTGTTTCCGAATTCACACAATAAAACTGCATGTAATTATTTTCCCTCATAATTTGGGCAAAATGCATATTAATGCTCCTATCTTCCATGGCTGCCTGTGCAGTTATTTGAATTATCATGAATGATGCATCATTATACATGATTAATAATTGTATATACCCTTCGGCAAAATAAAATATGTAAATATGAATATATCAAAACACATTTGAATGAAATAGCGGTGGTAGAAGAAAATATGAACTGGCAATGGTAGGGTCCAACAGGACTCCCCCAAATAATCTTGGGATTCGAACCAGCGACCTAATGAGCAACAGAACATTGTTACCTCAGCTAATGACTCTTCAATAGGATAGCAAGTCTGATATCCACTAAGGATTCCGCCAAGCGTTGACAAGCTTATCACCTACCTTAACCTTATATGAATAATCCTTATATATCCATCCTAAGACTGATGGATGCCTACTACTGCAGTATAATTATCTAAAAATCCTTTTTCAATCCATGTCATTCTGCAACGGTCTTTCATCGGCGCCTCAATGATCAACGATAGACTGATATTTCTTAAACAAAATTATCTCGTAAACACTGTCTTATAATTTATATAACTAAAAATCCAGTGGTAACGAAACGAAATTGAAGCTTACCTTAAAATAGGTGAAATTCTGTCTTCCGAAGAGTGCGCTCTCCTTACCTGTAATGACATGAAAGCGATTTATTAACAAAATCATACAACAGTCACATTAACAATAATACCTTCAGCAATACACGTAACAATTATAGAGCTTAAGACGACACTCGGAGGTCGAGGTGAAGCTTACCTTGTCTCGTAGAAGAAACAGGGGTTTCCTCGTTACGTGATTGACCAATCACTTCCTGAGACATACTTGCATACTCCAATTGAGTTGCATAAGAAATCTTGCACGACACTAAACACAGAACAATTAACACTTAAATGGAGCACTGGATATATCGACAATGTGTGTAATTCTGCTCTAGCAGTAAAGTCTTGTGATTTTGTATAATATTTCCAGTAAAACGAGTCATTAACGAAGAATTAAACTAGCGTTAAACACTTAACTGTTCGTCAGTATCATAAAAACGAATTCTATATCACTCACTATGGCCGAAAACGCTGTTCTTTTTTCTTAATTTGCTTTTTCTTAATTTCTCTTAATAGTTTAAGGATTTTCCGCCACACCACACCACATCTATCACAAACTCCAGCCGATGGAGTCCACCTGGAGCTGCCGTGAGGTGCAGACGTGTCGTCTGGCCGCTGGTAGTTTGGGGTGTTTGCTGTCTTCGTCACACCTGCTGTTGTTGCTGGCTGCGTGTTGACGTGGCGAGCTTGCCATGGGTGGTCCCCTTCCTCCTGTTAAGCGCGTGAACTCCGTGGGCCTGGAGTTCACTGGTCGTGCTGGATATGCGGCTATTGAAATGGTCATGTGCGACATGCTCCGTGTCCCTGTGATGGCCATTTACGGTGTTGAGCTTGTAACTGCCCACCGGGTTGTCATCAAGTTCGTGACGGAGGAGGAGTACCGTGATTTTCTCCGTCGTTACGAGGGCTGTTCGTTGTCGCTGCCGGGTGGTGCCGGCTCTGTATCCATCTCGGACCGTAGTGGTGCACTGACGTATGTCAGTGTGCATGGGGCGCCCCTGGAGTTTCCCGAGGACGTTCTCCGGCGTTACTTTCAGCGGTTTGGGGCGGTCATCAGTGTGCGGGGTCAACAAGCTCTGGGAGGTATGCAGGTAGGCGGACGAACGTTCGCACCTTGGGGATGCGCCTGCGGTCGGATATTCCATCTTCGGTCCGGCTTCTGGGGTACTACGTCCGGGTGTTCTATGCCCGGCAGCCTCGTACCTGTTTCCGGTGTGGCCTGTTGGGGCATCAGGCTGCCGGGTGCGATGCCGCCCCGGTTGCTCAGGTCAACTTGTTCCGGGAAGAGGATTTCCCACCGCTTCCTCTGGAGGAGGACTCCGGGGGTGAGGAGGTGAGCGTCCCGTTCGTTGCTGAGGCTCCCCCTGAGTCGCCCGACGTTCCCCCGGTTGTCACCGACCTAATGTAATGGACGTTAATTCTATACCTTCTTAATTAAGACCTTAATCAATTCTTAAGACCCAAAAGTGATTCCATGCACCCGCCAAACCCCCTGTTTATGAATGAAAAGCAGTTTACACACGACTCACAACTGCTGACGTTCGAACACTTCCGGAACAAGTGCTTCACTGACGAATTTTGTTCGAAGCACAACGCTATAAATGCTTCACCCACGTACTACAAATACAAATAATCGCCAACAGAACCTAAACACCTAACCTAACCTAACCTATGCCTATATATACACAATATGCTAATATATTATAATATTAATTTATACTTGAGAAAATTCCCGTTTTGAATGAACAGCATGTTAAAATTTATGAATGCGTCTGTGGGGCCGACGACTGGATGTAATGGACTTGAGTCGAGGATGGGTTGTCGAAGCACACCTCTCTCAATGCTTCACCCACTTACTGTTTATGTAAACAATTGCCAGCGGAATCTAAACATCCCCACATAACACAGTCGACGCCTAACAATAGAGGAATAGCAACATGTAGTGATGTTGATATATATTTTAAATGGAGTAACCATCTTGAATGCACGGTGCGTCGGATTTTACGAGTAAATTTTAGGGTCCGCTGAAGCTTAGACACACACTGGGATATATGTACCGAGAGGTGTGTATATTCTCGGTGAATATATACACTCTATTTTACTCCAGTCCTGAACATTGCTCACAGTTGAAGTATACTTGTTGTTTGGCCAGTATTGTGGTGTATTATTTGGCCAGTATTGTGGTGTATTATTTGGCCAGTATTGTGGTGTATTATTTGGCCAGTATTGTGGTGTATTGTTTGGTTTGCTATTGTGGTGGATATGATAACCACCCCGCGGTTGCAACGCGTCCAAAGGCTATCCTCATCTATCCGGAGATCAACCCCAAGAGATATTATTGTTGCACAGTTGAGTACAGGAGCAGACGTCTTCAGCCTTCGGCTTGCAGGCTTGCAGGCTGAGAGCCTTCCCATAGCTCATGGTAAGCCTTAACCCGGAACACCACCCGCCAGTAAGTTAACAACCAGGCAGCCAATTACACCTGGGCGAACAGTTAAGGACTGACGCCCAGACAACCCTCTTTAGCCAGAGCTGAATCGGGAGATGAATGTGCTTCCACTGTAACACCAGGGAATGTGATTTCTCACTTATAACATTCTGTGTGCTCAAAATAGGAATTTTGTCCAATTTAAATTTATTTGTATGTAGTCGTGTGTCGATTAGGTTAGGTTTCTAAGTTCTGTTGACAATTATTAGTATTTGCAGTACGTGGGTGAAGCATTCATTGTTCAACCCATTCGCGGACCAAGTCCATTCTATCCAGCGGTCGACCCCACAGACGCATTCATAAATTTTAACATTCTATTCATTGAAAACAGGACTTTTCTAAAAAATAAATTAATATTACTAAATATTAGCATATTGTGCATATGTAGGCATTGGTTAGGTTAGGTTAGGTGTTTAAGTTATGTTAGCGATTATTTATATTTTTAGTATGTGGGTGAAGCATTTCAACCCGTCTTCGACTCAAGTCCATTCCATCCAGTGGTCCACCCCACAGATTCATGCATCAATTTTAAAATGCTGTTCATTCAAAACGGGAATTTTTTCAAAATTTTGAATAAACAGCATGTTAAAATTGATGACTGCATCTCTAGGGTCGGCCGCCGGATGGAATGAATATACCCTGAAGACGGCTTGTTTAAACAGGGGAGGGGGGTCGGTGGCTAGATTAATGAACAGATGGTCTTTGCTTGCGACCACAAGCTGTCAGGTTGATTGACTTTATACCAACATTTATTTATTCAATAAATATAAAACCCTATTTCTAAACCAGTATTTACCCAGGTCTTTCCTGAATCTAAACTTATCCAATCAATAAATAAAACATATTTAATATTGTATATACACTGCATGGCTTTAAACGTGTCAAGAAATTAGTAACACCTGACGTAAAGCAAGAAGAACCAGATACATACATGATACAGATACATGTATCATGTATGTATCATGTAGTCATGATACATGACAGATACATGACTGACATAGTGAGAAAACGAGTAAGGAACACCAGTAACCAGTAAGGAACACTAGAGACAGCAACACTCCCATAAACAAAGGAGAGACAGAATTCATAGACACAAAGTGAGAAGGAACTTGAGGAACACTAAAGACGTGACGGGAACACAGAGCCAATTCCTCCGAACATCACCTGAAGGAAGTAGGAGTAAGAGTAGGTGGTCAGTGGAGCGCAGGTGGGTGGTACTTACCCACTTACATGTAAGACCACTTTGCTCAGCTGGCCTCAGCTGGCCTCAGCTGGGAGCTCGCTGCCTCCTGCTAAACTCCCTTCGTTGCCAAACATGTACAGGTTTACTGCGTTGGTGTGAGTGTGTGTATTCTTCTAGTTGTATTCACCTAGATGTCCTTGTGAAGGGTTGAGCTCTGGCTCTTTCAGCCCGCCTTTCAATTATCAATCAGCGGATTTTTTTTTTCACACACACACACACTTAGGAAGCAGCCCGTAACAGCTGTCTAACTCCCAGGTACCTATTTACTGCTAGGTAACAGGGGCATCAAAGTGAAACTCTGCCCATTTGTTTCCGCCATCACCGGGGATCGATCCCCGGTCCACAAGACAACGGATCTCATGTGCTATCCACTCAACCACCAGGATCGAACTCCAGCTCTTGGACCCTGTGTTTCTTGCAGCCTGATGGTAATAGTGGACGTCCATCTCCTTTATCTTACTCCTCCTCCTCCCTCTCCTCCTCCATAATATCTTCCTCCTCCTAGACTTCATCTCCTCCACCCCTCCACGTCCGTCAGACCCTCCTTCCAGCGTCCATGATATGTAAATGTCCCCTAACTTACCACACGAACACAACTTGTCTTGAAAATGGAAGCTTTTGATCTGAAGACGCTCCTAAGTTGTTCTCTCAACAAGCCGAATTGAAAACTTTCTCTTTTAACTGTCCTTGTTGAACTTGTCAGCTCTGAATCGTCTCAGGTGGCGACGTCTTCTGTCAAGTGAGCAGTTCACGACACCTGGTGGAGGTATGGATTCCTGATTTGATTTTGGGTAGTTTGGGGATGATTTGTGTGTGTGTGTGTGTGTGTGTGAGTGTGTGTGTGTGTGTGTGTGTGTACTCACCTAGTTTTGTTTGCGGGGGTTGAGCTCTGGCTCTTTGGTCCCGCCTCTCAACCGTCAATCAACAGGTGTACAGATTCTTGAGCCTACTGGGCTCTATCATATCTACACTTGAAACTGTGTATGGAGTCAGCCTCCACCACATCACTTGCTAATGCATTCCATTTGTCAACCACTCTGACACTAAAAAAGTTCTTTCTAATATCTCTGTGGCTCATTTTGTGTGTGTGTGTGTGTGTGTGTGTGTGTGTGTGTGTGTGCTCGTTTGAATTAATGCTTTCCCAGTTGTCGTTTTGCATGTGCATTTAAAATCGAATTCATAATTAATTGCATTCAATTGTCGTTGTTTACACAGACTAATACACGTGTATATTCACATTTGTGTGAATGTATGATTTGTTTATTGTTCAAAGACCACACCTGTGATGCTTGGTGCTTTCAGGCCACTCTAAATATTCCTGTTTCTAACACTGCAATAATATGATTCTAAATGAATGAGATTCTTGGGTTAAGCGCCAGTTCCAAAGCCCCAATTTTCGAACCTTTTATATATGTTGCTGCAAACAAAATACCTCGTCTCTTGCAGCTTTCTTATATTCATCACTTGCAGTCAAGGAGCCAGATTCACGAAGCAGTTACGCAAGTATTTACGAACGTGTACATCTTTCCTCAATCTTTGACGGCTTTGGTTACATTTATTAAACAGTTTACAAGCATGAAAACTTCCCATTCAACAGTTGTTATTGTTATAAACAGCCTCCTGGTGCTTCGGAGCTCATTAACTGTTTAATAATTGTAAACAAAGCCGCCAAAGATTGAGAAAAGATATACAGGCTCGTAAGTGCTTGCGTAACTGCTTCGTGAATCTGGCCCCAGGAGTTCTTTACTCTGTGATTTATTTGTTACTCGTTTCCGTGTGTGATCCTCCAGCTTATGTTGGTCATCACTTTGAACATTGCGTGTTTCCCTACATAGTCAATCGTCTTTAGAATCTTACATATTAACTTATCCTCCTCTTTATATAGTATATTTTGTAACTATCTTCTTGAGATATCTTGAGATGATTTCGGGGCTTTTTAGTGTCCCCGCGGCCCGGTCTTCGACCAGGCATCCACCCCCAGGAAGCAGCCCGTGACAGCTGACTAACACCCAGGTACCTATTTTTGTACGATAAACAGGCCTCACAGGATGGTTAATTTAGGTATTATAAGCAACATAAATTCAAAACCTTTTCCGGGTTGTTCAAATTCAATAGTAATAATTCTACTATCTAATTGCCCATTACGTCAATATATGTACGTTGGGCCACATCGTTACCACCAGTACAATCTAAACAGGAGGATGGATTGTATATGTCGTTATCATGTCTCCACTGTTGTCTC